CCCGTCTTTCTCCTAACCTCTCCTTCATTCTTTATCCTTTTGTGTCTCTCGCTCTGGCTTTCCTCTCTCGTGGCATACGCTTATGTTGATGTAACAAGTTATTGGCATCTGTGCGACCTTTGCTCCATGACAGCACCGTGCAAACTGATTGTTTACCGAGAGATACTGTGGTCCATCACAAATGTCAGATCATTTGTTTTCCTCATGTGCAGCTTGTATACAATATCACATGGCAATGTAAATGAGCTGCATTACACAGACGCTTCCATGATGAGCAGATAACTATCAGCGTCTGACCAGGCACTGTGTGGTTAAATAATATCAAATACTCCCTGGATAAGCAATAGAAAATTGATGGGCAGACCCACTGTCATAAAGTACAGTACTGTACACAAGTCATGAGTCACTACTCACATCTTAGCGTTTTGCTAGTAAAATGCGAAGCTGGTGCAACAATTTATTGAGACACGCAAATATACAAATATTGATATAAGGCAAAAACACAGTTCATTCTAACAAGCTTGATAGTCAACATTTGCTATGACCCTCTTTTACACATGAACTTTTTTAGTCAAGCGTTCTTCTGATTTCTTTAAGTCGTGTTCAGAAATAGTTCTGCAGACCTGAAGGACATTCAAAGCTCTTCTTTGGACCTCGACTGCCTTTTTGTTTTGTCCTGTGTCAAGATGATTTCACACTGCTTCAATAATCTTGGAGTCCATGAGGCCAGTCTATGACTGACACTCATCCACTGTGTGTTCTTCTGTCCACTGGCCATTGGTAGTGTGTTTGGGATCATTGTTGAGCTAAAAGAAAACATTGCCAATCATACACTTTCCAGATGGTATTGCAGGGTGAATCATAATCTGATGATAATTTTCTGTGTTCATAATTCCATCAATTTTGAAACAATCCCCAGAGCCTCCACTGTGGTTTACTAATGGTTGACAGTCACTGTTGTATCTCTCTCCTGACCCATTCTAAGCATACTGTTGTAATTTGAACCAGAAATTTCAAATTTGGATTCATCACTCTGTAAGAGCTGATTCCTTCCAGTTCTTGTGTCATTTGGCACACCTCAGCCTTTTCCTATAAATGGCTTCTTCAGGGCCGACCTTCCACTGAGGCCATTTCTGATGAGTCTTTGGCGACAGCAGATGGATTAACTCAAGTACCAGATGTGTCTCTCAGATCCTGGTGGACATTTTCCTATTTCTTAAGGACGTAACTTCCAGATACTGTTCATCTGCTGTAGGTAGTTTTTCTTAGAGGTGTTGCCACTTTTTCTTTTGTCCTCCACAGTTGTCCAGATCCATCAAATCTTTACAGAAACAGAGATCTCTATGCTAAGATATGCCAGCAAGTCTTTATGAATCACATCGTTGCTGCAAAAATACTATTTTGCCAGTCAAACTGCGGTATCTTTGGTATTTTCTATAGATTCAATTAAAGAAATACGAAGAAATTATGTGGAGTGGGGTTTTTTTGTTGGTTTTTTTGCCTAATGACACAATTTTAAAATAGTTTTTTGCTAAGTTCTTGTGTGTAGTGACAACACTGTTTCCCTAGGTTAGGCGACCTTTTTTATGCTTGAATGATTCATAGGTCAGTGTTAAGTGGCTTAACAAACAGCCATGAAAGAGCTGGACTGAAAAACTGTGAAAAGCAGCCAATGTTCAAATAAAAGCTTTGAAAGATCTCCAGAAAGCCCAGAGGACTATTGCTAAAGACCACGGAGGTGCTCAAGACCTTTGCTCAAGACCTTTGCACATTAATATAAATTTTTTAGATAAAAAGTGTCACCCAGCCACCCACCCTCCCACCCCAAGTGAATTAAATATAAATAAATAAATAAAAACACATGCAGTGGATGTATCATTTTGTTCCTCCATATTTAATATGATTTGACCAGAAAGCAAATATGTGTGGCTATACCCAAAAACAAATATACCCTATACCCAAAAATGTTACTTAAAGAATTGTGCTTAGTGTGGTCCACATCTAAGAAGTGTCTAAGCTTTCTTCATGATGTTCATTCTTCGTGGCTTTAGTTTGAGTCTTCCTCTGATCCTTCAATGTCCTGAAATGTCACAAGAAAAGACATAGTTATTTCAGACCCGGTAATGCTATAAAATAGAAATTCTATTAAGTTGTTTTGTAATTATTATTATTTCCTTCTGAGACTCAGATGAAATTTTTTTTTTTGATTATTCTGTTTCAAGGAAACACATTTTAAACTTGTTATTTATTTATTTTTCATCTTCTGTTCCTGGAAGTGGACAATAAGTCTTGTTTGATCACCGAATGCTATGATGTCTGAGTGAGGCCTAAAGATATTTTACTCGGAACTGTGGAAGTGGGATCGTGCTCAGAGCTGTCAAGTGATGAGGGGGAGGAGAACCAGACATCAGTGCAAGAAGGTTAAAAATTACGGTGGAGGACATACCGACTATTGGGGCGCCTGAGAAGTGGTAACATGACAACACTTCTTCTTCATTCT